AAGACATGTCGACATTTTCCCCAACATTCAAATCAAGACGACGATTAGACGGGCAAGCCATTTGCAGAAATGAGGAAGGAAGAAGAGGACAGGTAAATCAAAATCTCAGAAATACAAAAGAAGGGAAATTCCTACAGGTAGCAACTCTCTAAGTGTGTTTTTGGTACACGATTAATGCCCCTATAAAAAGAATAGGCAACATGGCATGTTCAGAAATTGAGGAGGCAGCATGGTCGTTCAGAAATCAAAGAGGCACCTCTCCAAAGGCCGGGCCGCTTGTTTAGAAATTAAAGAGGCAACAAGGCCACTTGTTTAGAGATCGAAGAGGCACTGCTCTCCGAATTTCAAAAGACTGCTTTTTCGGATTTGTCATCACCTTTCACATGCAACCTCAGCTTTGCAGAAATCACGGGCAACTTTGTCAAAGATTTCTGACAAAGTTGAAAACGCATGAATCTTACTGTTTCAATTACCCAACGGTTGCCGACAAGAGTAAAAGAATATCACCGCTACTAGCTGTTGGGAAATTCCTATATATGTTGACCTTCGTCCTCCATAGCAAGGCAGACCTGCAAAAATGCCCAACCCTTCCTCACCTCCGAAAGTACACTCCCAGCAGAGCCTCTTGAAATACTCAGTTTTCTTCTTCTCCGGGAATACCCTTGCAAACAAATGACACCAAAGTAAAAGTATCACATATCTTCAGGGTTGAAAGCAAAAGTATCTCATATCATACTTTTTCCCTGTCTTTTCCTTTGCCCTTGCTCTTACCTGCAGGACAAGGGGAAAGAGAGTAATTAGTCGGAACCTGAAATCAAACTTTCGATCTGGAACCGATTGCCTAGAACCTTTGCCTGGTTGCATACCTTGCATTGCTCTCGAATACTCATTGTCACTGAGAAGTAATGTTCTAAAGTACCATTTAAATGCAAAGGTTGCATTCCACTCTTGCATCAGGGACAAATACTGTAAGAGATTGAAGCAGCAGGATCAATGATGAGCAGGAACAGATCACTATAGCACGACGCCCTTCCCTGCAGAATGGCATAATCCAGATAGAGAAGTTTAAGTCAAAACCAAGCTTGGCACCATTACTCTAATCAAAGAGCTTGAAAAGCTTCAACAACCTTTCGTTGGCATCTTCGTCGAATGATAAAGCCTATCTATGCAACGCTGTCAAATCACCACCACTTCTTCGAAAGCAAGAGTATCTCATATCATGCTTTTTCCCTGTCATTTTCTTTGTCCTTGTTCTTACTTGTAAGATAAGGAGAAAGGGAGCAATCATTCAGAACTTGAAGGAAAACTTTCAGTCAGGAACCTACTGCCTAGAACCCTTCCCTGATTGCTTACCTAGCATCACTCTGCTGGCGAAATAGACAAGGCAGTAGAAGATACCACATCTGCCTAGAGAATAAATGAGGCAAGCGAAAATGATACATTGAAGCATGTGGAGACAAGCACAACAAAACACGTGCCGATTCATCCCCTAACCCTCTTCAATATGAATTGGAAAGATTGAACAAAAAAATAGGCCATCACCTCTACCTCGTGCTTGCCTACCATGTGTCCGAAACGTGAAGCTCCTTGTGGTCCAATTCCATTCAAAAACAAGCCTCAACGGCCCTTGAAGAAATCACAAGTCCGATTCAAGATCAAGTGTTCACAACCCTTGAATCAAGTTCAGCTCCAAATAAAAGGAGTAAATTCAAACATTTGGTGCAACTCTAACAGAAGAAACCCCCTAACCCAGTTCAAGAATAAACATGTGGAAAGTCAACGATTGAAGGAAACCAGAAAATCCTCCAACCCAGTTCAAGATTAAAGTTGTGGAAAGTCAACAAGTGCAACAAAATACATGCCGAATCATACACTACCAAAACCAAAGATCATCTACCACATGAAACTCCTTGTGGTCCAATTTCATTCAAGATCAAGCCTTGATGGCCCTTGAAGAAATTTCAAACAAAAGCCAAGATCAAGCCTCGATGGCCCTTAAAGACATTTCCAACCCAATTCAAGATCAAGCCTTAACGGCCCTTGGATCAACATCTACATCAAGAGACTTCAAAATGCATCTCCTACACATGACAAACACATGTATACGACGCGCCTTGAAGTGCAGGCATTTGTAGATATCGAAATTTCGGTAAAATAAATGTTGACCAATGCATTAAAATTACAACCTTCATTCATTTCACATATCATTCACTTACTTCACCTACAACCTCCACCCATTTCACCTATATCATTCACTTACTTCACCTACAACATCCACTTACTTCACCTACAACCTCCACTGATTTCACCTACAACATCCACTCATTTCACCTATAACCCCCACTCACTTCACCTACATCATCCACTTACTTCACTAAGAAAATTTGTGGTGGTGATTCATTCTAAAAGCCTATAAATAGGCTTCTTCATCAAGGTATCAAGGATCCAAAATTAACCAATTCACATTACACCAAAACCTTGAAGCTGTGAAACTCTAAAGCTCTCAAGCAAATCCCGAAGGATCAAGAAAGCCCTCTTCGTTCTTCATCAAATCCTCCTTCAAGATCAAGCCCCGACGGCCCTTGAAGAACTTCCACCAACTCAAGATCAAGCCCTGACGACCCTTGAAGAAAGTTTTCATCGTTCATCCTAAGATCAAGCCCTGACGGCCCTTTGGATCAACAACACTAACAAATCCGCACACCTGTTCTTCAAGATCAAGCCCAAAAGCCCTTGAAGATCCGTTCATCAACCATTCATCCCCAGATCAAGCCCTGACGGCCCTTTGGATCAACAAACACCCATTCTTCAAGATCAAGCCCAAAACCCCTTGAAGATCCGTTCATCAACCATTCATCCTAAGATCAGGCCCCGATGGTCTTTTGGATCTACATCTTACGAAGATAAAATCAGAGGCTAAATTCGTAGAAGAGATTGTAACCCAAAAATCAATACAAAATATATTTTGTACACGTGTTCTTGTTTCAGGAATTTTCATGTTTACAGTTAGACCAAACTTTTAGTCGAAGGCCAGGGACATATTGTCAGGGGATGGGGAATGCCAGAAGGCAGGAGAGTGAAGCTTCTTCATCCTTGTAGTCGAAAGGCCCAGTTACGGCTTTGACACAGGAAGTCGCTGGCCTGAGGAGTGAGCTTGCATCATACAAGTCTCAAATGTCATTGCTTATGCAAGCCCTCAGTTCCTCTGGGATTCGTCTCCCCAGTTTTTCTGCACCACCGCTGTCAGAGACCTTCAACCTGAGCATACACAACAATTAGGCCTTTCGACCTCCGACCCCGTCACCAACCCCAACCCTTTCCAACAACAAGATTATTGATAAGAGTTTTACCACTTGCAAAAGTAGCGATAAAAACACTTAAAACACTTGCAAGAGAATAAGGTAGTTGTAGTATAAATGGCTTAAGTAAGGTCGTTTCCGCAGGGATTGAATGAATAATATGTATTTAAACTAATTCTTAGCTAATTATTTGAAAACAAAGATTGGAAAAGGTTGATTTTGAATTTAAAAATAATAAAAAAGAATTCAATTAAAATGATTAAAGAAATTAGCAAAATAAAGAAAACAAAAGCAAACGCTTTGAAAACCAAATTGTAAAAGGCCTAGGGTTTTGCCGTCCCCTTAACAATCCTATATAGATTTACCAATTACTTATGAATTACCCATGCAACTTTGAAGGTTAGGTTTTCCTAATGCATATTTTATTTGTGGCATTCAAGCTAGAATGTATATCAGACATGCAATCCGTCTGTGGCATTCAAATCAAATATAAACATGCATGACTCATTGTGAAAACCCTTTGAAAAACCATGCAACCCCTAAGACGTGGGATTCGCCCTAGGTGAAATTACAACTATCAATCACGAGAAGCAATATTCAATTCCCCAATGGCATTCCAATCGAATTGCATCCGATTGCTTATTTAAACTTCCTAATGGTAGCTAAGCATTAAGATATAGAGACAATTTAAAGCACAATGATTAATAATTCAAAGTATGCATGCATAACATCATAAGCAATTAAATAAAAATTACATATTCATGCTAAGGCTCAAGGCATCACCCTAGAAAAACAGAAATTAGTTACGAACAACCATAAAACAAAAGGAATTTTATTGAAATAGAAAAATGATAGAAAACATCTTCAAAATAAACTTCAAAAACTCTCTAGAGTTGTGTGTGCATTCCTCCCCTCTAGGGGTAGCCCAAAAAGGCTTATTTATACTACTCTAAATAAAATACTCCTAATAAAAGGTCTTAGCATAAAACTAGGAAATATAATCCTAAATTAACTTGGTAAATTTGTCCAAAAATCTTTACAACTACGTTTTGGACTCAAATTAGCTTTAAAACTAGCCCAAAATAGCTGGATTTAAAGCTTGGACTATTCTGAACCTTCTCGAGAAGGCCACGAACCCATCTGATGTCATCTTAGGCTCCAAAAATACAATTTAAGCCCAAAAATATCACTTTCTAGCAACGTGCACTGCTCATTTATTAAATCGCCAGAAAATAACTGCTTAGTAGAAAAATCCCAAATTTTGATACAAACAAGCCAAGAGACACACGAACGTTCTCCAATTTGAATCACTCTAAAATTCATCCGTTTGGTTACGTTTTGCTCCAGAGGAAGTCGAATGTCCCATATTAAAAATACATAACAAAGTATCAAAATTCTACTAAAATAACCAACAAACTATAACTAAGATTAGAGTATAATATGTTGTATAATATTGCCTCATCAAATACCCCAAAACTTAGCTTTTTGCTTGTCCTCAAGCAAAACAAAACTCAAAAACCAATTAAAACTAACAAACTAGAAACTTAACTAAAAGTCTACTAAGACCAATTTTCACCTTCAAGTCGCAATCCATAGAAAACATTAAAAATTAGAACATCTTTTCAAAAGTTCCAACTAATCCTACCAGAGAGTCTAAGCCATTTAAAATCAATCAGAAAAGAATTCATGAACTTCCTTTGGTGTAAAAGTGAACCAACATAGTTAAAGAGACCCAACTAAAACCCTCACCTCTCGTCCTTTTAATTCAATACTTCACACATTCTAACTTGAAACATAACTATCATATTTTTTTTTCTTTTCGAATTTTTCTCCTTTTTTTTTTTTTTTTTTTTTTCTAATTCACACTTTTTTTTTCTTCAGTAATAGTAGTGGTCGTGCAATGTCCGCTCCCTTAAGCTTTCGATCCAACCCATGTAACGAGCTTTAGGTCAATGACTCCCAAACAACAAAGTCTAGAGGGCACTAGGTGTAGAACACCCTAAAAACTTATTACCTCAAGCTGAAAAGGCTATGAAACCAACTAACCACTCTGCCCTATGCCAAAACTCTACTGTTTGACGCGAGAATCACTGCTGATTAGGCAGGATTGGCCCGGTTACTAGGCAAAGTCTCGGGTGGAACAATTATTACTTTATAACACATACTAACTTTAAGAATAAAAATTAAAATACACTTAGACTAAAAGTAAATGTTTCAATCTCACTCCCCACAAACCAAGTTGATTTGAATGTGCAAATTTTCAAATTGTAACTCATGAATTATTGCCTAAGACACGATAAATAGAAAAGACTTTACTGTGGGATTAATCTTCATCATGTCCATTTGTTCTAACATTTAAAATAATCTATGGATATTAGCTTAAAATTTGAAAAAAAAAAATTTATTGACTCAAAATAAAAGTCTAAAAATTCTTATTTCCCACCCCCAAACTTAAATCACACATTCTCCTCAAGGTGTGGAAAAAAAAAATAAAGCACAAAACTATGAAGTCCTAAAAACTTAAAATAACTAACACAGACAAGTAAAAGAAACTAGAAAAATTAAAACAGAAACAATAAAATAAAATATAAAATAACAAATCAAACAGAAAATTAAAGAAAAGAAAAGGGAATGGACACACCTGGGATGGTTCGAACCCACGACCAGGAAGAGTAACCAGGGAGCGTCGTAAAAATTTGAAAAAGTATAAGAACAGGCAGTGAGCTTTGGAGTCAAACCCCTAACCTGGATCACAGCAAGAAGTGTTGAGCTTTACACAACACACACGGAACCCATGCTCCTTCCTTCATTTCCCATTTATGTCGTTGAGCTCTTCTCCCCTCTTCTCCATAACCTCCAGCCCAGAGCCATGAGAGCTCTCTTCCTTTCTCTTCCTCTCAAACCCCTAACACAAAACTGCTGCTCTAGCCATTCCAAAATCTTCCAATGGTCCTGGATTTGTCGAACTCAAAAATAAATACCCAGTTGTGCCTCCATAGCTGGATTTCTGTCATTTATTCCCAATTCTCCATGTTGCTGCAAATCGAAGCTCCAATCCATCGAAGCAATGTCCCAGTGCACACCAAAGGTAAATATCTCATTTTTCTTATGGATTTCATGACCAAAAGTTGCATGAACTTGATGCATGGGCCCATTAATGTGACAAAATTTTTTGATCTGATACTTGTGTATGCTATGCTTGCAAGTTCAACCTAGAAATGATGCAGAGGACCAAAAATTCATTGATCTTCACGCCCTTAAAGGTAAAATTCATCACTGCAATTATTTGAGCCTGAACTTGCCAGATTTGTAAATGTACTACTTGTGCATGCCTAAAATATGAATTAGATTATGTTGCATAAATCTGTGTAAAGTAGTGTTTTCTGATTCCAGTGCGTTCATGCATCAATGGCTTTAGTCTACTATTTGCAAGCTCATGAATGTGTTCTGTATATTGCATGTCTTCATTGATGAACGCATGAGCCCAAAAATCCGTGCATGAGATCAATCTGCGTATTGGCTTGATGAATGTGCTCATTTCTGTGTTGCTTGGATCCCAACCCCAAACTTGTATGTGGTGATATTTTAAATAAAATGCTAGGGAGTGATTGAGTGAAAGGGGGTGCCAAGCAATGCAAGGGGCTTCATCACCAACCCCATTGTGAGTATGTCTGGAACTCTGCCCGTGCATCTTTCTGCATTCCTTTAGTTTCTGTAGTGCTGAATCTCATTAATGTTGATGAATTTACGATGAATGCTCTAAGTGGATGTATGTTAAATGCTGTTGAATGCATGATTTAGTCGAATGTGCAGATGTATTAGATATTTGGGGCTGAATTGTTTCCAAATGCAACCTGCAATGATCACACAATAAAAATCTAATTAGAATAAACCCAAAATAAAATACTGATTAACTAAAAATATGGTTGTTTTTGTGTTTTTCAATTTTCAAAGTTTTTTTTTTTTTTTTGGTTGTGATTTTTGTAATTGAAATAAAAGCAAGAAAACTAAATTGAACGAAATTAGAAAGAAAAGAGTTAAGAAAAATTGGGTCCCAATTAGCACTTTAGTTAACGTCTATAGCTAGACATAGAGGAAGGAATTGATGGTCACATAACTTGTTCTCTTAGAATCAAACACTCCATAACAGCATCACAAGGCAATAGTAGGTACAGAATGAGATGTTTTGTCAATTATGTGTTTCAGGCGAGTGGTTGAATCCTCCATATTCGGCCTTCTTTGTGAATGAATCTTTGTAATCAAACAGAATCCCTTCCAACGAGACTTGCGTATCCACCGAATTGACTTAACCTTGTATTTAAAACCCACAATTTTTGCAATGGCCAAATTTCTCTACTAGGAATTTGGCTGCCACAAAACGTCTTCTTCTTCTCGTATGCCTTAGCGTACTTGTAGGATTGGCCTTGATATTCTTTTAAGTTTGATGGGCTGTACTGCATGTGATTCCCCAGATTCTGACTTGGTGTGAGCAACCCTTTGAAACACATCAATTTCAAAGCATTCCTACAGCTTAGTTGGTTGCTTTGCAGCATCTTGATATGGTATGTTTGGTATATAAACTTGGGCAGTAAATGGTTCCGTGGGAATTTCAGTATCAACATGTGCTTTTTCCTTCATTGGGCACGAGTAACTGGCATATTGCTCTTCAATTCTGGCGTTTTCCTGCATGTACTCACAACTCGTTGCACCTTGGGGTGTTTGAATTACACACCATTCTTCTTAATCTTGTGGCACATTAGGCTGCTCAAATGGTTGTTGAGTACCTACCCATCTAAAACTTGGATGCTTTTTCAAATCTGGAGTGTAGTAATCAAAAGTGGGATCGTTCCAACGCCAAAGTGAGTCGTTCCTCATATTAATATGCTCCCTTTTTCAGGGCATTGCAAAATTTCATCAGTGTTTGAGCAACAAAGAGTACAAACTATAGGTTTAAATCCATAGAAACCCTGTTTTGCAAAAGAAACCCATAAAGGTGGTCCTCCTGGTGGCAGCTCCATCATTGAATTGCTTTCAAAATTAACAAACCACAACAACAAAAATAAAAATAAAATCAAGTACATAAAAAGATATATACAAAAATAATTAACTAAGAATATGTTAAACACAAATTATTTGAAAAAATACCCCGCGACGGCGCCAATTTCTTGATAGGATTTTTACCACCTGCAAAAGTAAGCACTTAAAATACTTGCAAGAAAACAAGTTAGTTGTAGTATAAACGGCTCAAGTAAGGTCGTTTCCGCAGGGATTGAATGAATAATATGTACTTAAACTAATTCTTAGCTAATTATTTGAAAACAAAGATAGGAAAAGGTTGATTTTGAATTTAAAAATAATAAAAACAAATTCAATTAAAATGACTAAAGAAATTAGCAAAATAAAGAAAACAAAAGAAACGTTTTGAAAACGAAATTGTAAAAGGCCTAGGGTTCCGTTGTCCCTATAACAATCCTATGTAGGTTTACCAATTACTTATGAATTACCTTTGCAACTTTGAAGGTTAGATTTTCCTAATGCATATTCTACTTGTGGCATTCATGTTAGAATGTATATCAAACATGCAATCCGTCTGTGGCATTAAGATCAAATATAAACATGCACGACTCATTACACTTTGTGAAAACCCTTTGAAAAAACCATGCAACCCCTAAGATGTGGCATTCGCCCTAGGTGAAATTACAACTATCAATCACGAGAAGCAATACTCAATTCCCCGGTGGCATTCTGACTGAATTGCATCCGATTACTTATCTAAACATCCTAATGTAGCTAAGCATTAAGATATAGAGACAATTTAAAGCACAATGATTAATAATTCAAAGTATGCATGCATACCATCATAAGTAATTAAACAAAAACTACATATTCATGCTAAGGCTCAAGGTATCGCCCTAGCAAAAGAAAATTAGTTACAAACAAACATAAAACAAAATGAATTTTATTGAAGTAGAAAAAGGATAGAAAACATCTTGAAAATAAACTTCAAAAACCCTCTAGAGTAGTGCGTGCGTTCCCTCCTAGGGCTAGCCCAAAAAGGCTTATTTATACTACTCTAAATAAAATCCTCCTAATAAAAGGTCTTAGTATAAAACTAGGAAACCTAATAAATTGAAATAAAATAGGAAACATAATCCTAAATTAATTTGGTAATTCGCCCAAAAATCAGCACAGACACGTTTTGGACCCAAATCAGCTCCCAAAACTGGTCCAAAATAGCTGGATTTAAAGCTTGGACTATTATAAACACTTCTTTAGAAGGCCACGAACCCATCTGAGATCATTTTGGGCTTCTGTTGACTCTAAAAATTACAAAACCTACGTGGCGCGCAGGCCGAGTAACTAATAAGCTAACTACGTCATTCGATTGAATGCGGGGCGTGCCAACTCGTCGATCGAGCTCGGCCGAGGAGTAAAATTTGTTGATGTTGCGTTGAGCGCGTTATTAACTTCTTTATCTTGCGACTGCGGCTGAGGAAGGAACAAATCTCGGCCTTTGGATTCTCAAGCTTGAAGACAAGGCTGCTAGTTCTGCGAAGTTCACAAATTGTCAATGCCAAATTCGGTCATAGTGATTATATTCATGAGAGTATAAGCATGTCGAATCGACACCAGATTGTACGGACACAAGTATTCAAATATGATGTATGTCTTGATGGTGAATGTGGTTCGGTCGTCAGAATGCCAAACTCTGAAACTCACTTGTGAGTATCCAATCATAAAATTACTCGGCGTTCAATGTGCTGAATATCGTAACTCGTAACACCTTACTTTGCCGAGAAGGCTAATAAGATGACCTCTGCCAATAAGGATTCGGAAACCCTTCTCGACCGAGACTTAGATAGGTAACCAGTCGGCCTCGACGTAGTGCTGTTTATCCAGACTGAAGGTGCTCATTGGTCAGCTGATTCTACGGCAACAGTGCTGTTTATCCAAACTGAAGATGTTCGCCGGTTGCCTTCACAATGCTGTTTATCCAAACTGAAGATGTGTCGGCAGAAAAGAGAAAATAAAAAAAAATTTAAGATGTTTGAGTGGTTTTGCGCAGGGTAATTGTGTGTTAATTGGAGGTCTTTGAATTGCACCCTCATTTCTCTATTTATAGCAGCAAATCCTCCTTGAGATCGAGTCAAAATCGTATCTGAATTGGGACTTCTTATTCTGTTCCAACTCCACTTCGACTAATCCTACCCCTATTAGGACTTTGAACTCGGCCAAACACTATTATTTAGGGCCCAAACAGCTCCAAAAATGCAATTTAAGCCCAAAACATCACTTTCCAGCAATGCGCACTGCTCATTTATTAAATCGCCAGAAAATAACCGTTTGGTAAAAAATCCCAAATTTTGACACAAATAAGCCAAGAGACACACGGACGTCCTCCAATTTGAATCACTCCAAAATTCATCTGTTTGATTACGTTTTGATCCAGAGGAAGTCGTATGTCCTATATTAAAAATACATAACAAAGTATCAAAATTCTACCAAAATAACCAATAAACTATAACTAAGATTAGAGTAAAATATGTGGTATAATATTGCCTCATCAATTACCAACCACCTTCGAACGACTTGCCCATAGATTATTCCTTATTTTTTTCCGTAGCCTTTCTTTTTAAACTTTGTATTTGTACGTACATTTTTATTTATATTATAAATAAATTGTTTTTTATTCATTAATTTGTGTTTTTTTTTTTGGTCAATTGTATGAAATATTTTTTTAATAGTATTCCTTTTATTCTATTTATTATTTTTTTTACTACAAATTACACTTGCGCGACGCCGACAAGTCGTTGCTCAAAACCATACATGTCTTTCTTGTTTCGTCGCGCGAAACCATGCGCTTTTACAAGTTTCATCGCGCAAAACCACTCATGTCTTAAGTGTTTCGTTGCGTAAAACCATACGCATCTTAGGCTTTTCGTCACGCAAACATTTTACAGACAAATTATAGACGTTCCCAGAATTTTCTCGTCACAAAGCAAACTTGTACCCTTTTATATCATGCAATGAAAGCCTTTGTCCATATACCTTTTGTGCGACGCGTACTAAAGCGTCGCGCAATACGTGACGAATGTCCACTTCATCATCATGCAAGGTATTTTTTCACGACCTTTGCGCGACGATTTATCCGTCGCCATAGGTTTTCTGTGACCTCAAAATGCTTTGCACGACAAAGTGTCCTTCATCGCTCAAAGTGTTTAATTTAGTAGTGTATATTTGGAACTTAGTGCGAATATCATATTTAAGGAAATACATGGAACCCATTTCAATTTATCCTAGGGTTTTCTTCTTTGTTAATTCCATCCTCATCCTCCTCAACAGTACATAATGCATGCTTGCTGTAAGTTTCTCAAAACTTCAAATAATCTATGTACCCTTTCTCTTAATTATGTCTGGTGATACTTACAAATACTATGCATTATTAAAACAATAGATGATGACCAATAAACTAAGAATTTGTAATTTTTGAAAACCCTGATAAAAGAAGTGAACCAATCAACCCCAAAATATATAGATAAATAAAACGAATGAAAACCTGACTCATGATTATATAATGTGCAAGAACAAAAAAAAAAAAAAAAAAAAAAAAGAGAAGCGAAAACAAAAACTTACGGCGAAAACTAAAAAATTCCCAAGGATCTAAACTAGAGATAACTAACTAAGGTGAAGCGAAAAAACAGAAGAACAAATGATCAACAAGCTAATAACAAACAAGCGTGGATTAAATTTAGAGGGATTGAATCCGCTTTGACATCATGTTAACAAATCAAAGGACAAAAGATGA